TGCATATGTGCATGTGTGCAAGTGTGTATGTATGTGTGTGTACATGTGTGTATGTATGATGTTTGCTTTATTCATCATTGGTGGATCTTAGGCTGACATTTTGTCTGGGCTACTGTAAACCATGCTGCAGGAAACATGGCAGAGCAGATATCTCAAGTGGTTCTCATGTCAGTTCTTTGGGATACATACCCAGGAGTGAGAAAGCTGGATTGTATGGTAGTCCTATTTCTGATTTTTTGCAGAATCTCAATGCTGATTCCTATATGCCATGATCATTTACCTGCTTGCTGGCCATGGACAGTAGCTCCTTTTCTTCCACATCCTTGCCAACATTTACCTTTTGTGTTTATTGTTAATATTTTTATTTTTATTATTATTTGAGATGGTTTCCATGTAAACCCAGCTGGTCTGGAACTTGCTAGACCAGGCTGGCCTCCATCTCGTAGAGATCTGCCTGCCTCTGCCTCCCAGGTGCTGGGATTAAAGGTGTGCACCACCACACCCAGCCCTCTTTCACTTTTTAAAAAAGAATCTTTTTGACATGTGTGAGGTGTCACTCAATTGTGGTTTTAATTTGTGATTCTCTGATGATTTGTGATGTTCAATAATTTTTCATATACACATTGACCATTTGTATATATTCTTTTGAAAAATATCTATTCGAGCCCATTGCCTAGCTTTTATTTTTTTAATTTTGAGACAGGGCCTCACTATGTAACTCATGGTGCCCTGGAACTTCCTATCAGGCCAAGACTGACCACAAACTTGTAACAATCCTCCAGTTTTAGGCTCCCAAGTACTAGGAATATAGGTTTGTGTTACCACACCTGGCTCCTTCTGCTCATTTTTAAATCAAGTAGTTTCCTTTCTTGCTACTAAGTTATTTGAACTCCTTGTGTATTTTGGATATTAGCCCCTTATCAGATAAGTTCTTTCAAAATATTTTCTCCTATTCTTATGGTTTTGTCTTCTTTTTGTTGGTTGCTTCCATGAGCTTGTTAGTTTGATATAATCTCATTTGTCTATTTTTGCTTGTATTTTGGTGAACTCTGCATAAAAAAACATCATCACCAACAGCAACATGGGGAGATTTTCCCTGTAGTTTCTCTAGTAGTTTTCTAGTTTCAGGTTTTTTTTTTGTTTTTGTTTTTGTTTTTTCTGAGACAGGTCTCCCTGTAGCCCCAGTTGGTCTTGAACTCACTGTGTAGATCAGACTGGCCTCAGTCTCCCAGAGAGCCTCCTGCCTCTGCTTCCTGAGTGCACCACCACACCCAGCCCGTTTTTTTTTTTTTAAACCCATTTAATGGATTTGTTGTGTGATGTAAGATGAAAGTCTAGCTTTCGTATTTTCATGTGGATATACATTTCCCAATAACATTTAATGCAGTCTGTCCTTTCCCACTGTGTGTTCCTTTCTAAAAATGTTTCATTTATTATTTTTATTTTATATGTATGAATATATTGCCTGCATGTATATAAGTACACTCTTGTCGTGCAATGCCCTCAGAGATGAGAAGAGGGCATTAGATTGATTCCTCTGGAACTGGAGTTCCAGATGGCTGTTAGTACCATGTGGGTGCTGGGAATTGAACCCAGGTCCTCTGCAAGAGAAGTCAGTGCTCTTAACTGCAGAGCCATCTCTCCAGCCCCCAACTTACATCTTAACACTGCTATTTCACACTCATTTTTAAAAGTGCAGTGTAGGGCTGAAGAGATGGCTCAGTGGTTAAGAATACTGTTCTTGTAGAAGACCCGGGTTCGAATCCTAGCACCCACATGGCAGCTAACAACTGTCCCTAACTCCAGTTCCAGGGGATCCG